GGGCATGAATGAAAAGGAAGAGTGAAAATAGCCCTCAATGGCCACATCCCGTATCTCTATTGAAATGAGTGGTGTTACCACCTGAACTTTGCCCAGCCATTTTACCTGCACAGCAAATGTTTTATCCCTCGCTTGCTGCTGGGATGGCTGTGGGACATTACCAAAGAGCCATGAAACAACAGGCCTTTGAGCTTAGTTGTTTCGAGTAAGGACGCTGCATTGTTTCCCTTGAGAGAGCAATACCCTAAGCATAGCATAAATGCAGCTTTCAATGAGGTGCTGAACAAACGCAGGAAAGCTGTATAAAATTCCTCCTTTTCCTTTTAAATGCTGGATCATTTGTTTACATTGATGACTCAGCAAAAGCAATGTTGGACCATTCCAATTTTTTCCCTGAATTTTAGCTAGACGCATGTACAAAAGTAGGCCAAGAAGTAGTGTTGCTTATTTTGAAGCAGACAGTTCTGAGTTTGAGTCCTCAGCCAAAAAAGCCCATAAAGAAAACAATTAAATTTGATATATAGGATTTCAATAGAGATAGCATCTCTACTGGACACAGGAGATCAAATACAGACACACTATCAAGGGTTACGAAAGGCATCTTTTCCTATAGTGCAGTCCATAGTTTTTTTCCTATGGACTTGCTTAATTTTTCTGGTAGAAAACAGTATCATTTCATAGTGTAAAATGTCAGAAGTTTTAAGGATAAAGAATCATACAGATTAACCTCAAACAGGTGAGATGAAATGATTGGAAATAAACTCTGAGAGGTAAATTTCCACAGGTACTTTAGAGATTCAGAGATTTTGGCATCCTAGACCTACTCCATTTCCTCTAAAGGAGAGCTTTGAAAAAAGCAAAAACAAAACACACTCCTCCAACTGCATGTGGACATGGATATCTGAAGGACTGCTTATGTCTTTGGAAGAGAATACAGAAGTGAAACTCACTAGAGTCCAGACACAAAAGTGGGCCTGCCTATTTTACTGTTTAAGGATGGCTGATTTGCAAAAAGTAAATAGAGAGGAGAAAGAAATAAAAGGAAAAAATTGTAAAGTTCTTCCAAATTGATTGATCAAAGCATTATTATCTATACGCTAGATAAGGACATTAGTTTTCCTTTAAAAAAAAAAGAAACTTAAAAAGGAGGCTGGGTTTTCAAAAGAGTCAAGTGTGCAAATTGCACATGCAGCTGTGAGCCTCATGGATGCAGGCTGTCTGGCAGTTGCATTTGCATAGCAAGGAAATTGTGACAAGCCTATTTGCAATCCCAGCAGCCTAACTATGCACCTTTGAATCTTGCAGCACACACACTGGATTTTTTTGGAGAACCCAACCCCCAGTTTTTAGACAATGTCCCTTAGCCCCCACCCTATCTATTCTAACCATGTCTATCTGTCTTCTGCCATCCAGCGACGAAGACAACAAGGAACCGCCAGGCAGCCACACCTCTTTGGATGGTACGATAAAGCAAGAGAGCGACGATAGTTTGGTGGATTATGGAGAGGGGGGTGAAGGGCAGTTCAATGAAGACGGATCCTTTATTGGCCAGTACACAGTCAAGAAGGACAAAGAGGAGACAGAAGGCAATGAGAGTTCAGAAGCCACATCCCCCGTCAATGCTATCTACTCCCTGGCATAACGCAGTATAAATGCAACCACAACGACAAATATAATACAAGGGGGGGTAAAACCGCCGCTGCCAAGGGGACACGAGTATGAAAAAAAACCCCACACACAATGAAAAAAGTTCCAACAAAAGCAGAACAGTCCAGGTGGTCCCCAGTGCCACCCTCTCCTTAGCAAACAAGAGAACAGCAAGGATTCTTGGGGTGCTAACATGTTGTCGCTGTAGCTGAAACCTGAGCTGAACCAAAGGGGCCAGAGGAAGAACCAACTTCACAGGTTCTACATTCAAGCTTCAGAACTTGGCCCACCGACCCCTCCTCCTCCCCAGGTCATCTTTTTTAGATCACGCAGCATCTCTTTGGTTCATCATTTACACTGTTGGGGTTCCCCTCCCCTCCAGTTTTTGGGTAATTTTTTTTTGGAGAAAGGTCCCAAATCAGAGAAATGGTGGTAGGGACAGGGACTGGGGACAGAAGACCTTTCCAGTGTAACAGCAGCATGAAACCACACAGAGGGATGGTCCATCAGCTAGGAGTAGAAACAACACGTTCCTTTATTAACAGGAAGTTCTCTGGGACTGTATTTGAGACGGACAGCTTGACAGCCAGCACCTCGCTCGTAACGCCTCCAACGCAAGTCAGCACCACTAAGAACCTTCCACTAAGGTCAAACGAGCAGCATCGCACAGGACCCCAGAAGACGACTATGCCCATGGAAAGTTTTTGTGGGTGTGGTTGGATTGTGCTATACCTCTTTATTAAGGCTAAACGTCCTCACTGGGTTCTGTCACCAAGGGATTGATGGGTGACATTACCCTGCATCCATGCTACTTAAGAAATTCTGTTGTTTTTTTAAAGGGACGTTGGGGAAGAAATTTAGGACTTGACAGACCGATGCAGCTTACCTTCTGACTCCCAGCGACTGCTCAGCCACTAGGAGAACAGTATAATTTGCCTGGAGAATTATGTGGGAAATTATTTTATAAACATGAACACCCCACTACTTTTAAGGGAAACCCCATAAATCAGTGGGTAGCAAAGAGGAAGAACCAGTATTAATATAGTTTCTTTTTCCTAAGGGTTGATACAGATCCAGCCATGAAAAGATGGCACCGAACAGCCATGGGGTGGGGTAGAAGAATAAAAATGTGACCCTGCATTGCAGCTGCTGCTAAGCTCCTTGAAGGTTTCAGGGGAGCCTAGTCCTGTAAACGGCAGGGAAGCAGGGTATGGGCTCTCCTTGTCCTAACAGGGTGCCGCTCAGTTTGTTCTCAATATCTCCTCTTAGCCTGATGCAGTGGCCTTTTCCCCTATGATCAATCACCCCACAGAAGAAATGTCCATGTGTTCCAGGGTGCATGTGGCACACGGACGCACCCATTTTTGTTCTTTACATATCAAGATGACTCGGTCCAGCTAACCTGCTAATACACTGTAATAACATGTCTTACTAGGAAGTTCTATCATTAAATGCTCTTCCATATGCCTTATATAGCTTCAAACTTCCCCTGAAGTTTAATAAACTAAGAATATTCACCCTCAGCTTAAGCCCCGGATCTGATGGTTTCTCATCTGTCAGTCCATTAGGAATATAAGGATGCCTTTGCAGCCCTCTCAGCTGAGACAGCATGGATCACTGTAGAAGATAGAGTTTGACAATAGACTGTACGTAGTGGCAAATACAATGTGTATTCTCCCCATCTCGTGCACTTTTGCAACCAAAAGTACCTTTGCTGAGAGAGATCAGACAACTTCCAACACAGTTATACAACAATGTTAGGCAGAGTTGTTGGGGTTTTTTTTTTATTAAAGAAGATGGCTCTGTTGGACATAATGGATTAAACGCAGTGGGATTCATACAATTGTTTTAGCTTTAAAGCTATTTTGCTACAAAAACATCTTGCCAACAAAGATGTTCCTTCTAAAAAGGATAGTGTAGACCTAATGTTTGCCACATTCTCTAAAGCTGACATGATACCTAACAGCTCAACTATGTTGCATTTCTAACAAAGAAACCCAAATGAGGCCCACACCTGGGCAACGCTCCCAGTTAAATCAAGCACTGAAACAGGAGGGAGAGTGTAGCTGTGCCAGAGGAGTGGGATGCACCATGGGAATCAGAATGGGTCAGATGGCGGATACAGGACTGCCAAAGCTGCCCATCCACACAGGGGGACTGCTGCTAACATGGTCTCAGCCACAAAGGAAAGTCACCTGTCGTGGTACTTGGTTCTCTTTTTCCTTCAGAGAGAGAAAAGTCACAACCATCACTCTGTTACTGTCAGCATAAATGTATCAGAGCAAGAGGCTTCATTCTAATGGACTCCGTAGGCATTGTTCCATAGCAAGGGGAGTTCGTCACCCACCCCGCTCCAAAGAACAGTTTACAATGCACTCAGCCAAATTTCCAGTCATGCTGAGTTTAAGAGGGCGTGTGCTGTACACATTTAGGGGACGTCTACACTGCACGGCTATTTTGGAACACCGGAGGTATCCCAAAATAGCTACCCTGCCTCTACACAAGCCGCCCGTTATTTCGAAATATTTTTTGAAATAACAGGCACGCTGTTTTGTCATCCTAGTAAACTTCGTTGCACGAGGGATGAGAGATAGCTCAAAATAGCGCATTATTTCAAAATGTGGCACCACGTAGATGCGCCAAATTCAAGTTTCAGAATAGATTTGAAATAAAATATGCAAATTGCGTATCTTATTTCGAGTTTAGGGTCCTGTGTAGACACACTCTAAAAGTGATGTGGTACACTCAGGCCAAATCACCGAACAACAGCCTCCCCACACACCCAAGATTAGCACCAAGAGCACAGCCTTTGTCATTTGATCTAAAGCAGCATTTCTTAAAGTATGCTGCGAGCCAGTGGGAAGTGTGCCGCAGAAAGAACAGAATTCAAAATAGCTGCCTTTAAAGGGACAAGCTTCCTTTTTTCCCCCCCTCTCTCAACAACTACTTTTCTCTGGGGGCTTTTTTTTTTCCCCCCTCACCAAAAAAAATTCCTGGTGTTCCCCATAAAAAAAAATAGTTTGGTGTTCCTCGGTCTTAAAAAGTTTAAGAAACACTGATCTAAAGGAACACCTCCATTGGCGGGTAGCAACAGGAAATGCTTATTCTTCCTTTGGGCCAACTACTAGCAGGGAATGGGACACATTTAACTACCGTATTACACCGATATGGCCAGCGGGGACAGCCACTGTGGGCCACTGTGGGCCCTGGACAAGGTGTGGGGTAGGACCAGGATAGCCAGTCCTTAGAGCCTCATGGAGTAGCACTCCGGCGCTGATTCAAAGGAACCCTGGGCCCCTTCGAACTGCTAAGCCCCACGGCAACTGCCCCTTTTGCCCCCCACCACCAGCAGGCTTGTGTGCAACTATGGCGTTACAAGGGTGTTCTTGTGAGCAGCTTGGTCTGTGATTCACACACACTCCGTCCCGTCCCTGTGAATCACTTCACTGAGCCACCCACATTACATCTGTTTGGAAAAGGAAAGAGCAAAGTGTTTTGCTTTGTGGTTATTTCATATATTGCTCATGGGAGCCGCCCCAACGTTCCTAGACAGCAAAGAGTAGAGCAGGTTACCTCCAACAGACCAGAAGGAGTCTGGCGCCTTACACCTCAGCACACAGAACCCGACACCCTAATGTTCCTTGAGTAACCACAAAAGAAAAATAGGCTCCTATGTAGGATGAAATGGACAAACTTTCTCTCTGGTTTAACTGAAGTCAGTTAGAAATTGATCAGAATCTTAAAACAAAAACAACCCCCCCACACACACACACACGGATGAAAATATTCAGGGTCTATAGGAATGGAGTTGGGATCTCTGGAAATTAAAAAGCTTTAGGATGTAGCATAACATCCGCATGGTGACGGGGAGGGGTTCTCAATCTTTTCCTTTGTGAGGCCACTCCCAACATGCTCCCCAAACTCTGTGGCCCAGCTGCACCACCACAATTGTTTTTCTGCATATAAAAGCCAGTACTGGAGTTAAGGGGTAGCAGGCAGGGCCCCATGCCACAGGCAAGACCACAAAGCTAAGTGGCACAGGCTCTAGGGTGAAGGGGCTCAGGACCTCTCGGTGCAGTCCTGTGTGGCTGGGCTTTTGGCTTTCTTCCCTTGGCCCTAGCAAGTCTAACACTGGCCAGGCTTGGCAGACCCCCTTAAAACTGGTCCACTGCACCCCAGAGGGCTCAACACCGCAGCTGAGAACTATGGCACTACAGTTTTGCAGCAGGCACACGTAATTCTCTGTTACATCTATTGGGAGGTTCACAAAACTACACAGAACATTACATTGCCTACCACATTCCATAGGTCTTCTCCCTGAATGTATTACTAGGGGGTTCCCTATAGTCACTGTGGTTTTGGTAGCTAGTTCACTGCTAATTAGAATGTTGGTGGCTAAGTTAATACATGTGCGTGACTTCTGCTGGACCTTACTGCAGAATCACCACAGTGGCCCCAGAGCTAGTCACACACCATGCCTGATCAAATGTGTTTTTAGATTAGATTATAAGCCATTAGGATGAGCTGTGGAGCTGTACTGCAGGAGACATACTGCAGGGAATAGCCATGCTCTTCCCCTCCCGTCCCCAAGTCACATATAGGCTGGATGAGCTAAAAGGTCTTGTTCATCTATCATACCTGTCCAAATGCAATGCAAACTATCCACATTCTCTCTCTAGTGCCCACATGGGTAGAGCCCTGCGAATCGGGGATGTTCACTTTGCATCCGCAGGTATCTGCATCTGCAGATGCGGATATCTGCAGCTTATTTTTGTGGATACGGGTGCAGATACCACATTTTGTATCTGCTACATATCTGCAGGCATTTGCATCTGCAGCTGTGGAGATCCACACATCAGGTTTGCAGATGCAAATAGCAATTTTGTGTGTGCACAGGGCTCTGCTCATGCAGGATTCACAGGTCACCAGGTTGCTCTGTACACCATGGCCACAAGGAGGCAGAGTCCATCAGCTAAGGAGCACTGTCAAGTGTCCAGGGCATATGCTGTGATGTGCAGCCAGAAACGTAAACTGCTTTCAAGGTCACCAAGCCCACACCCGGGCTGCATCTCACCAGCTGAACCATCCCGACCACGATGCCAAAAGGGTATTAGAAGATTGCACTATCCACGCCTGTAAGCATGCTCTCAACTGGTGTCAGCAGCGTTTCCCCTAAACAATCTTATTCGGTAAACGGGATGTTCCAGTCTACTCAGTTTCTACATCCAGATTCAGGTAGCGCTTTCAATTGCCCTGCCAATCAAGTGATGCCCTGCACTGTTGAACTGGCAACTCTTTCATTAAAATGTTTAATTGGTGGAAGACATGAGAAACTAGAGAAGGGCTTGACCCAAAGCCCCAGATCTGAGCATGCTCAGAATCCTAGGAAATGTCCTAGCAATGGTCCCTCTCATTTTTTCCGTCCATGTGTGAAATAAATTCTGTTACATGCACCAAGGCATGTGTAGATGTGCACCACCAGAAGGAACCTATGCTGCTGGCAGTGGGCATTCCACTAATCCAGTGTTTCCCAATCAGGGTTCTGCAGAACCCTGGGATTCCGCAGACCATCATCAGGAGTTCCGTGAGAAATCGTGGAATAAATAAAAATTTTGAAATACTGCAAACAATTCCAAATATCCCTTGAAATATCGCCAAGCAAACATTTTCATAGGTAGGGGTTCCTCGGGATATGAAAAATTATTTTAGGGGTTCCTCCATGGGAAAACGGTTGGGAATCACTGCACTAATCAGGTGGGCAGTATTTGGATCTTTCCTGAGCGGCCGCCCAAGTGTTCAGCTTACAGGGAACACTGGTCAGGACCCAATTCTGTAACATGATGAACTAAAACCATCCACATACTTTGGGGGAAGGTAGCTATATACTCCATTGCTTGGGCCCTACTACATCCAAACCTACGGAAAAGTTCTATAGCTGTTTGAAATGTGGCCTTATGAGAACAAGTTGGTGTTTCTTCTCCAGCAGATCCTAAACACAACAATGTACTGAAGCGATCGCAGAGAAACAGGGGCTACGTATGCATGACAAAACCATCCACATACTTTGGGGGAAGGTAGCTATATACTCCATTGCTTGGGCCCTACTACATCCAAACCTACGGAAAAGTTCTATAGCTGTTTGAAATGTGGCCTTATGAGAACAAGTTGGTGTTTCTTCTCCAGCAGATCCTAAACACAACAATGTACTGAAGCGATCGCAGAGAAACAGGGGCTACGTATGCATGACA